ACAGGAAGAAAGAGCAGCAAAACTTTGTCACCCAAGACACCAGCTTTGTGCAAGGCACCTGCTGGGCATGGAGCAATTCCAGTTTGCTTGGCTGCTTTGCAACAGGGGTCCTGCGGGTGATCACGGGATCTCTGGCTGCACCGGAGCTGTAGAGCTCTCGTTGGGTCGGTGTTGAGAATCTTGGATTTCAACCTGTCCTGCATCTGTCTGAGGTGGATGTCTTGTGGCTTGTCTGCTCTTTCCTCCCTGCCTTGGGGAAAAAGAGAGATTGTTCTCCCTTCTTCCCTTATGGTTACTTCTTTTACCAGGGTCCTCTCAGCACGGCGAATACAAGCCGTGCTCTGCTTGGTGCCGGTACCTGGCTTTGCATGTCCTGGGGTTCTGCCCCCCTGCCCTGCAGAGCGGGGAGCCCGGCCGGGTGTCATTTATTGCGCACACAAATGCTTGAGCTTTTTTGCCCTTGCTTGGTTGGCATGACACACCATCAGGCCTCTACTCTGCATCCTTCCTATACCTATACTATACCTATACCTAATAGAGTTACGGATTTCACATATCCTCTGTGACTTTATAAACTTCTTAGGCTGACATGTCTCACGCTGGGTACCTTACCCGTCCCTGCACGCCGTTCCCTGCGTACCCTGGGCCCTTGTGAGCACGTGTCTGCTCCGGTGGTAGGTGGGGAGATCTCCTCTGCCTGGTGGCAAGATGAGTTGAGGGTCAAGGGTCTGCCCTGTCTTCATGATGTATGAAGTGGTCTTCGGTTTGGTGCCCCAAGCCACCCACAGCCCCTCCAGCTGCACTCACCTGCCCCTGCACTCCTTTGTGTTTTGGATGGGTGAGTTATATCCTGCAGGCTCCAGAGAGGAGAGTGTTCCTGCCAGGGCTGGGGGGGAGAGGGGGGGCTGGACATTCAGAGCTCTTCAGGAACCCTTGTTTCTCCATTCAAGCAGCAGGTTGCATGTGAGTGAGAGAGCTCCTCCTCTGCTGGTGAGGGTGGTACCAGGTCCCACATGTCCCCAGGCAGGGGGGTTCACACAGCAGAGGGCTGGTACTTGCAGCATCAATCCTAGAATTAAGCCTCCTCTATGTGGCTTCCTCTGGGCACAGCTCCGAGCGATGTTTTTCCCCCCAGGTACACCGTGTGCCTTCTCCTGGGCCAGCTGCTGGCCCGGCACCTCAGATGAGAACTGTCTGGTGTGGGGGGTGGCTGTGTTTTCATTCCTGGATCTTCCCTGGAGCAAGGGAGTAGCTCAGAGGTGGCTTCATTTGTAGGCTGGGGGAGTGGAGGAATTAATGAAGTGACAAAGTCTTGTCCCGGAGTCTGGGAGGCTGAGAACAGAGAGAGGTTGGAAAACTCAGGCAGGAGCTGAGCTGGCTCGTGCTGCATGGACGGATAAATTAATAAGAAAAGGAGCGTGGGGGGATATCCCATCACAAGGGGGGGGCTTCAGCCCATGGGACCAGCACAGGTCAGTCTGCCTCACTGCTTTCCTCAGTGGGCTGGAGCAGCTCCAGGGACCTGCTGCGTGCCAGAGGGAAGAGCTTGGGGCTGATCCTAGGAGGATGCTAGGAAAAGTTGATCCTGCAACTTCCTAGGTACATTGAAACACATGGGCTAGTTCCATTTTTTTCTTTTTTTTTTTGGCTCTCTGCAGAGCCAAAGCCTACTTTGGGAGCCAGAGGGAAGGAAAGGAGTTTGGGCAGACCCAGATTCCCACCCTTCCTGCCTGCTTCGCCGTGGGTGGTGTGGCAGCAGAGCTGGGGCCCGAGGGGTCAGCACTGCTGACTTGTGTGGAGGGGCAGGGTTTGTCTGGAAGCATCCAGGCGGCTGCTCCGCTGTCCTGGCAGCAGGAGGAAGCTCCATGGGAATGCTCCACTGTCCTGAACTCTCTGTAAATGCCCGCTACCCTGGGTGCTGGGGGGGGCAATTTGAGGAGGGGTCTGCATCAAGTACAACGGATCAGGGTAAGTGGGTGCTGGTGGCTTGGGGGTGGAGAGATCAAATCTGGGTTTCTTTTGGAAGCAGTATTTTGGGAGCAGTTAAACAGCGTCAGTTGAAACCTGGTAATTATTGCAGCTGCAAGGGACAAAAAAAACCACCCCAAAATCCAAACTCAGCATCTTGCTAAGGTGCTTAACTGTTCATTTCCATGGGTGAGATCCGCCCTTCTCAAGACACTTCAATCTGTTTGCGTTGTTGCTTCCTCTCCTGGTTAGTTAGGTGGAAGCGGTGTTTTATTAATTAGGAGGAAAATCCTGCTCCCTCCTGCCAGGGCAGAGGAGCTCCTGGCAGTTTGCTCCCCTTCGGCGGCCGAAGCCTTCCCTGTTCCGCAGCAATGTGCCTGCAGGGCATCTCCTGGGGCATCCCCCTGCCCGGTGGGAGAAGTTCCTCAAAACCAAGGCTGGGTGCTTCCAGAGAGGCTTTCTTCTTCGTCAGCTTCTTTAATTGACCCCTTCCCTTGCTAGGATGTAGGGTTTTTTGTTCTCACCTTTACTTCTCGCAGGCTCTTCCCTTGCTCGGTGTTTGCCAAAGGCGTTCTGTGGCTCAGCATGGCGAGCACATACACGCTTTAGGCTGAGCCGTAACGCTGCCGCTCCTCCTGTTCTGGAGCAGGTTCGCCTTCTCCCCTCCTTGGGCCAACGATCCCCCCCTAACTATCGTTCATTGGCTGCTCTCACCTGGCGTGAGGGGTGACCCTGAAGGAAAGGATTTACTGCTTTGCCTGGAGAAATCCGATTTCACGCGGCACTCGCAGCCAAGCAGCCCACTTAGACCAGACAGTCTTGGAGATCACTACGACTTAGCGAGGTTATCCTCCCCCTATTTATAGATGTCTTCCTCTCCCCAGCTCCACCCGCCGGGGGGCTTTAAAGCAGGGCTCCCGGCCTCTCCTCTCCCCGCAGAGCGTTTGCGTTGAGCAGCCAGCTCAGACTCCCCGGAGCAGACCTGGCGGAGGAGGACGGGCCGAGGCACAAGCACCGCGTCGGGAGCCAGCAGTAATGCGGGCAGCAGGCATGTCTCTCGCCTGTTGTGGTGAGCTAAAACTGGCGTTTCCGTGTGTAGGAGGAGGAAGCAAAGGGTTCTGCTTTTCCAGCTGGAGAGTCAGCTGAGGAAGTGGTCTCGAACCAGCGTGTGGAATTGCTTTATTTGGCAGTTCGGCTCTGCTCGAGGGGGGAAGAACGCTATTAACTGGCTGAGCATCCTGCCTTCTGCTTCGCCCCGCCTGCGGCGCACTGTACGGGGCTGTGTTTCTACCCATCTTGCCTTTATTTATTTACGTTATCGTGGTAGAAACCAAGCCTTGAGGTGAGAGAGAGAGTTTGTTCTTCTAGCAGGTCTCGTAGTTGCATCCCCCCGTGCCTTCGCCGTGCAGCACGTACAGCGCTCGCCGTGGGCTGCGGCAGAAAAGCCAGCGGGGGCGTAGGTGTGGGACCGCTGGTGTCTCCAGTTAGGCTTGAGCTGATGGCACTTGGGAGTACTCTTCCCCTCGCATCGCATGGCTTTCATTTAGCCAGAAAAGCGGATTGGGTACAAATTGACTGCTCGAATAGCAGGAAATGAGAGCGGCGGTGCCAGGGACCCGTTTTGGCTGGATCTGCAGGAATCGGCGCCATCGTGCTGTCGGGCAGGGAGCGGGAGGCAGAGTGTGGAGAGGTGGTGGCTGATGCACAGCAGTTAGGCAGCCCAATTAAAACGAGGAAATCCAGGTAGGGAAAATCATGTTCTTGGACTTTATTTCAGTTTTATTTTGTTAGCCCAGGCTTTGCAGGTTGCAGAGACCACGGCAGAGCAGTTAACGTTCCCCGGCTAATGGCCTAAGGCCAGCGCGTTCCGGTGTTAAGCTCGCAGCAGAACCGCACCTGCTCCTGGAGCCGCTGTTATCTATCAAGGCCTTTCCTGATCCCTTAGAACAATCCTGGGATTGAAAAACTGTATTTTAGGAGTCTTTGTTTCAGCCTTTTTACTACACAAAGTAGTTTCTCCGCAAAGGTCCTTCTACAGTTCATTCATCCCTATAAATCCTGGTGGGTAATTGAATAAGCTCAGCTGTGCTATTTTATTTTTTTTCCTTCCTTGTTTCTTCTTTTTTGCTCTGTTAAATGTTCCCTTGATCCGCTTCTCCTGACATGCATCCCGATTGCCCTGACTTTTTCCTTTAAGGAGAGACATGTGTATGCTTAAACGTCTTTGTATACTAGAGGAGGCGAAATGTTTCTGTGGTTTAACTGTGAGGATGCTCAAAGAATGAATTCTAAAAAGTAGGAAAGAGAGAGAGAGAGAAAAGCAAGAACAGGCCAAGCCCCAAACCTGCTTCTGTGGGTAGGGGGATGCTCAGTATCAGCTAAAAATTGGCGTGAGATGAGAGTATTTCATTGCTCTGTGTGAAACAGCTGCAGAGGCCACGCTTGCGCAGACGCCCCATCCGCCCCTTTCCAGCCCTATTGCGGTGTCAGTGGGGAACAGGACCAGAGGGATCTTCTGGGTTGCATACGAGAAAAATAACATCTCACCACAAGCCATCAAGTCGTACTCCTCGTAGCTGAGGTGGCTGAAATCCGGGTGTGCCGGTCAGAGCCTGGAGCTTCCAGAAGAACCTTTGTGCATGTGACTCCCAAGGGTTTGGGCTCTGAGCTGCTCTTGCTTGCCCCCTTTGCCGCTGCTTTACCGTGGCAGCAAGGGCTTTCTGCTGGGCTCTGGTGTGCTGTCCTCCGCTGGCCAGGCTGCTTCCCTGTGCCTGGGATCTCCTGGTGCTTTAACTGGGGGGAGCCTCTCCTGGAGCCCCCGCACTCCCCACCTCCAGGCAGTGAAAGCTGGCTTCAGTGAAACAGCCCTTCCCATCCCAGTGAGTGCTGGGATGGGCATCCCGGTCAGAGCATGCATTGATAGGCTTCTGAAAATGGAAGGTTGTTGCTTAAATCATACCTTATCTTTCTCTCTTTTTCTTTCCTTTTTTTTTTTTTCCCCTTTCTCTTTTGTTTTTTTAACGCTCGATCAGAACCGACCTTCCTTTCTCCAGTGTGTTGGGATCTTTACAGCAGCCCATGCCGCAGCGCCTCGCCTATTCCACCCGAACTGCCCGTGCCACTGGCTTGGACCTAACCTAGGATAAATCTCAGCGTGGCCTGGGTAGGGGGGAACCATGGGGAGCTCTGCCTCATCGTTGGCCGCAGAGACGGAGTCGGACCATGGCTTCGCTAGCGCACCCTACCCGGGGCACCCAGCCGTGAGCTGGTATAGGAGTAGTCACAGTGGCCCTGTTTGGGAAAGTGCCCTTATAACGCGGCAGCATCAGCATTTACACCACCGGGTGCGAAGGTAAGGAGGAGGGGAAGGAGCCTGCGAGCCTGCTTACCTCTCAGCTTGAATCCGGGGTGGTGCGTTTGGGAGATAAGTTGCTTTGCATCCTATTGTGTGTTGGGTCCTTTCATTCAGAGGCTCAGTTCAATTCCTCGTGAAAGCTAGAGCCAAATTTCCACCAATTCGAGTGATGCCAAGCCACGTCCTTTTTACAGGGCTGCTGGTGACTTCTGCAAAGGGACTGCAGGACCCATCCCAGCTCTTCCTCACTCGCCTAAATTGTGAAGGTGGCTGCTTGGGAAGGGGATCTCAGTTCCTTTAATGCGTTTGCCATCTTCTTGTGGCTCCTCTTCCTTCTGAGCTCCCAGCTACACTGTAGGTGGATTGTGACTCCAGGTTGGGTGGCAATAAGATCACAGAATCATAGAATGTTTAGGGTTGGAAGGGACCACTAGTGGTCATCTAGTCCAACCAAGTTTCTGAGCTCAGAAGAGCAAGAGAAGCTGTTTTCATGCAAAAGCAGTGAAATGCTTTGAATACCAGATCCAGGGGAACGAAACACGCCAAAACAGGATTGCTCTGAAAAAGAGCTCAGGGTTTCTAACCCTCAATTTCCATCCCTCCTCGATGAAATCGGCGCCTCAGACGTGTCCCTGAGTCATTGCCTCTGCCCCTTCCCAATCAGCCGCTTGCAGTGGGGAATCTCTCTCCGTGTTGGAGGGCTGGTGTCCTGCATTCAGTCTCTGACAGGTTGAGAGCTATGTCAAAAGCATCCAAAATCCTCTGCCCCGGGGGCTTGGCTATAGGAGCTGCCGTGTTTTGTGCTAATAATATTGGAGCCTTTGCCTAATGCCTGCTTTGTGTAGATTCCAGCCTGGTTGGGTGTTTGTACTTGCTTGAGTCCGTTTGGAGCCGCTAGTCTTTTAGGAATAGCTGCTTGCTTCTGAGTGTCCCCGAGCTGTTGTGGCTTTCCATTGGAGGCGTTTGCTGTGATGGTCATGTAGTATCTGTCGTGTAGTCCTTGTTTTCTTGCCTTGCTGCTGCTGCGAGTCCCGGAATCTGCTCCCCGGTGTCGGGTGCATGACTCCGGGAGACTCCGAGGCAAGCGACGTCACGCTTCGCTCCTTTGTCGCCCTGTCTTGGGTTTCCTTGACCTGGTAACGAAACCAATTAGCTGTTGTCTTTGCTCTCGGTCATGGGCTTGAGTTCCTAGCAACACCCAAGAGGCCTTTCAAAAGGCCGTTTTGTGCAGTTGCCAACACCCGTTGCTGTGCGGACCAACCTTCGTGGCTGGCCCACGGCTCTGGTGGGCAGCCTGTGCTGCGTAGCTCCGGCCCCTCTATTTTAGAGGGGTCCTGCGATTATTCCTTCTGGACTGCTGCTCTTTCCCCTGCTGTCTTGAAGAGTCGGGGAAGGTGTGGACGGCTCACAGACAAACACCCGGGTACGCCCGTGCACAGCCAGCGCTGAGATTGAGGAGCTTCCAGTGCAAAGCTGGCACCGGGCACTGGAGAGGCCGAGGCCCTGCAGCCTCATGCGTGCCCCCTCAGACTGCTCGTGAGTCCACCTCGGTAGCCTGGAGGAGCTTGAGAAGTCTTCACGCGTGGAAATAAATTTCCTGAACAACCAGCCTTCGTGGTGGAGCGGATGTTGGGGCAAGAGCAGGAACTGCCGGTCTCGGTGCAGATAAAGCTGGTGTCCTGTTAATTGCTGATAATTACGTATTTCCCCCGCTAAAGGGAGAAGAGATCTCATCCCGGCTAAGTGCCACACAGTTCCTGGAGACAGGAAAATCACTGGCCGTGATTCACTGAGCAGTGAATTGCGTGGGAAGAACCTGCTTTAGGCAGTGATTATGGAAGTGGGTTCAAAAGACCTGCTGAGATCAGCCAGGCTGTCAGGCATCAAAGCGCCTGCGGTTCCCATGGCGAGACCGGTGAAACAATAGGGTGAAGAAGCAGCGGATGATTGGGTTCCAGAGAGGAACAGGTAAATATATTCCTTTAAAAAAATTAAATAAGTCAATAGAACAAGTCAGGGTAGGTAGCTCTGCCTCGGAACATCTTTGTCCCTGGAGTGCTGTAGCAGGAAGGAAGTGCAGAACTGGGGAGGCTGAACAGGAGTTCTGGGATAGACTTTGCTTTTCC